TTTTGGTGAGGAAGATTGTCGCTGAGCTAACATCTGTGCCAATCTTCCTCCACTTTATATGTGGGACATCACCACAGCATGGCTTGATGAGCGATGGGTAGGTCTGTGCCTGGGATCCGAACCTGTGAACCCTGGGCTGCCAAAGCAGAGCGTGTGAACTTAACCAATATGCCTCCGGGCCGCCCCCTGTCCAAATATTCTTAAATGCTGAGCTGCCCAACTGGGCCCACCTTTTTCCAGTTGCCCCCTTAAGGGCTGCCTAGTGAGTTGCTATCCCTGTGGGGAAAAGGACCTAAGCTTTAGGGGCCTTCACTGTGTAAATGACACATACCTCGTCATCTCACCTTAATAATTTGTGCAGAAGAGATGCCGGGAGGATTAATGAGAAATCTGAGACCTCTCTTTTAAAAGAAAGCTCAATTTTCAAGTTTAGGGGCCTGCCCCGTGGCATAGTGGTTAAGTGTGTGTGCTCTGCTGCTGGTGGCCTGGTTCAGATCCTGGGCGTGCATTGATGCACTGCTTGTCAGGCCATGCTGTGGCGGCGTCCCATATAAAGTGGAGGAAGATAGGCACAGATGTTAGCCCAGGGCCAGTCTTCCTCAGCAAAAAGAGGAGGATTGGCATGGATGTTAGCTCAGGGCTGATCTTCCTCACAAAAAAAAAAAATTTTTTTTCAAGTTTATTACAAAGATTTACTGGAAATATATAAGAACTCTAAAAATATTGCAAATAAATAAAAATTTTGAAGAATTCTACCAGTGGTCACATAATTTCTGTTAAGATACCAAATAGTGGTGTGTATCCTATAACGCGGCTGACTGCCCATCCTTCCTGGCGCGGGTATGAGGCGACGACAGAGAGCTAGACTTGCAAGGTCAGCCACTGCCTGGGCGAGAGGAGCTGGGACAAGTTATCTAACTTGTCCACGGCTGGTTTCTTCATCCATAAAAAGACAGCCATGCACTGCTCACAGGTGGTTGGAAGATTCATGACACCTGGGGAAAGCACAGTGAAACCCACGTTCCAGCCACATCCAAATAGTCTTGCAAAAACCACGGGAAGCCCGTCTGTAGCTTTTCTTGCAGGCGTATTCATTAACAAAACATTCACAGTTAATCAGAGCAAGATGTTTAAAACAGTATTTATAGATTTTGAGGTTTTCAGAATAGTGAAAGATAAGAATACTTTATATGTATATATGACTTAAAATAATATAGTGCTAATATAGTGCTAATAATATAGTGCTAATAAACAATAGTGCTAATATCATGATAGTTGGCACCCAATTCACAAATATTTGGAGGATACATCTTGGCTCAGCCTCCTTCAGGCTGTATCTGTCGTGTGAAACAGGATGAAGCTCCTTCCCCCTACATATATAAACATTTTCTTTCAATATTCGGATCCGTGGTGTATACACTTTTGAGTCTTTTAAAAAATGATCATTAACATTGTTCTACAATGTTAATTATTATTTCACAAATTATTTTATTGGCTGCAGAGTATTCCATCATCTAAATGTGCCATTATTATTTAACCAGTCCCAACTATTGGACCCTTAGTCTGGTTCTGATTTTGCGTTATTATAATTAACCGATGACAAACATTCTTATATAAAACACGTTGTACACATCTCTGATAAATTCTTACAAGTAGAATATCTAGGTCAAAGGGCATGATATTTGCCCCTAAGGTCTATAAGGTTTTTGATAGGTATTGCCAAACCAATTTACACTCCTCTCGATGATTATTAAGGACTCCCATTTTTTCTTGTCCTCACCAATATTGGATTTTGTCACTTAAAAAAATATCTTTACCAATCCGAGAGACAATAAGTGGTAGAAAATGTCTAATATATTTTTCTGTTTTAGTAAGTACAGTATGTGGGACATAATCGAGTCTTGACAAGGCTAAGTTGTGATTCAGAATATTAGATTTCTGTGTGCTGCTCTGTAGAGGTGGCCTGATGAGTTGTAATATAAAGGTTGTATATAAAGAAATCTTCATGCCTCTGAACAAACCCTGTGTTGATGAGTTAGGAGTGAGGAGGCTTGGATTCTGGTTTTAGCCAGCCACGTTTCCTCAGGCAAGTGTTATATTCTCAGTAATTTACTTTAAATACCTCAGAGGAGCCAGTAGGATGCTTATCTGTGTATGCAAGTTAACTTGAGTCTGTGTCCTGAGGATACTTTATAGCAAGCACTTCAAATATTGATTGCCTTCTAGATCAGTACCAGAGGCTTAGTTAATTAGTATAAGGAATGTCAGAAATAATTTTTTATAGATGAAATGAGTGATATGCAAGATATGAGGCTGACAAGTAAGACTGAACAAGGGTCTCTGCCTTTTTTTGAACAATGAAAGAAGTAAGCTCGGTAACATAACATTTGTGGAGTAGCTCCCTGTATAGAACTCCATTTGTTCCGAATCCCCCACTTAACCCAGGATTTAGTTGCTTGATCTGGCTAGAAGGGTAGCTGATGATGTCATTGTAATACAGGTGCACTTGACCCAAAGAGAAACTTTCCTGAGAAGGTTCTTGCAGAGTGCCCACGTGGACGTCCGGGGGTAGATGCATTGAGCTTCCAGAAATGTGTTTGGGACTCTTGTGGTGTCTGTTTGGTGATAAATGTCTTTCTTGTGGCAGAATTCAATCTGAGACTGGCTTTCATTGTAATGTAACACCTAGTAGTAAGGTTGTAGGGAAGGTGACCTATTGCTTCTAACTTGACCTCCTTGAAATGTTTTGCTCATCTGTATAAGTTGCAGGAGATGGACTAAATTATTTCTGACTTCCCAATTAGTTCTCCAAGTCCTAGATTGTGTGGTATAAAGAACATAGCATTAGATTCAGACTTCCTGACATCTTCATCCAATAGAAAGGAAATATTATTTATAGTGTTTCATATTAATTTTAGTGATATCTAATAGAAAAGAAATGAAAAGGAAAATTCAAGAGCAGAGAGATTAAATAAATCAGCTAGGCCTGTCTCATTCCAAAACTCATGCTGTTTCTATTGTAATGCTTGATACTTGATACTCTTCTGGTATGGCCTGAATTGTGTCCCCTTCAAATTCTTATGTTGAAGTCCTAACCCACAACGTGACTATATTTGGGGATAGGGCCTTTCAAGAGGTAATCAAGCATAAATGAGGTCGTAAGGGTGAGGCCCAAATCCAATGACCAGTGTCCTTATACGAAGAGGAAGAGACACCAGGGATGTACAAGCACGGAGAAAAGACCATGTGGAGATACTGCAAGAAAGCAGTCATCTGCAAGCCAAGGAGAGAGGCCTCAGCAGAAACCAAACCTCCCAACATCTTGATCTTGGACGTCCAGCCTCCAGAACTGTGAGGAAATACATTTCTGTTGTTTAAGCCCCCAGTCTGTGGCATTTTGTTATGGCAGCCCTCACAGACGGATACTGTCCATGAAGATGGTGCAGAAAGATGCTTAAGAGGACAGTTTTGCTGAGCCTCATGCTCAGGAAAATCCAAAGTGGCAGGCCAAGGGATTTTCTGAAAGGAATCAGCTGCCACAATTTTGTGAGATTATGAAGTTTTGTAATTTAGGCATATATATTTTTTCCTCAGCTCCTAAAGTGATTAGCAACAAAATCTAAATGAAAAGTACCCTTTAATTCATTCAACAAGTATTTATTGAGGACCTGCTTTCTGTTAGGCAGAGCGTTAGGTAAGATAGTATGAGGAGTCTCTACTCTGCTGCCAGTTCAGTTATCTTTCAGACTTCAGGGAAGGGGAGTGGCTGGGGAGAAGGGAGAGAGAAGGCCTCAGGACATAATAGCGCAGTGGGAGGCAACTCTAGAAGGAGAGGAGAGCTGGCTGAGGCCAGGGCCTGCAGGCAAAGGGAAAGGAGTGAGGAGGAAGGAGGAGGTTGTGCAGCTCAAAGCCTGGGAGGGTCCCAGACCAGCGCCAAGGACTGTCTAGGGACAGGGGCAGAGCACTGGGAGAGACCAGGACAGTGGCTCAAGAAAGTGCACCTAGGACCTGTGAGGACCCCGGGGAGCACTACATGGGTAGGAATGGGGAGGAGGAAACTGTAAATAAGGGGAGGCACCAATAGCAAGTTTGACCTGCTTAACAATTTTGCCGTGGGCAGAGCCTGCCTGAACACAATTTTCACCTTACCTGGTAATGCTAGTGAGAGAAGAACCTAGAACTGGGAAGCCAACCCGTTTCTCTGCACCATCTGTCTCCTTAATCATCTTCCCCTGTAGCTCTAGTGCAGAAATAGTTTGGTGTGTTTCTCAAGTTGGTGGGAATTTTGTCCTTTCAATGAACTACCCAGTTTCATTCCAGGTTGAAAAACGTGAGATAAGTTGGATAAGCTTCAAGGGGCTTCTCGTCAGGCCCCGTCAGGCCCGGTAGTTGATGCTGCCATGAAATCAACATAGCACTTAAGTGCAGTCTGTAACCATGGAAATGAGGTTTGCTTCAGTAAACCAGAGTGCTCATAGAAGTCAAATGGACTATCAGCAGATCCATTACCAAGAAGCGTCCTGTGTAATGACACTTTCATGCATCAAACAAAGCATAGTGGTGCTCTCCCTGCCCTGTCCACGTAACTGTCGCTTTCCATGAGAACAGCATCTCCTCATCTTGTCTGCCCTGTAGACAGGAAGGGAGAGGGGAATGGAGCAATTACTCTGGAATCCGCTCCCCAAGTTTAGAGAGTCTCTATTCTCAGAGATCTTCAAGAAACAGATATTTGGCTCTGGGTGATATTAGCATCAATTGACTTGATAGATTTTTAAGATTCATTCCAGCATTTTGATTTTGTGACCTTAATCGCTAAGGAAAATGTTCACTGATACACAGACCTCACTTCTAATTTGACGTGGCGCCAGCCTAGGAAGCTATAGCTGATATTGGACACACAGCCTTATGCGCCTACCATGGTGACTTTTCAAAACCCCAACCCTAAACGTAGCTGTTGGTATTGAAACAAGTTTTAATTCCTCTCACCTACTCAATCACAGGTCATCTTCAGGTGGTGGAAGATCTCTTTGAGGAGTGAGTATCGATCAACAAAACCTGGAGAAGTAAAAGAAAGTCATGAAGACTTCCTAGAGAATTCACATCTTCAAGGTAAGGGAGGGAACAGATTATGTACTTATTGCTGTTATGTTCTCTTTAATTAGTGATAGATTTTGTCAGAGAAGTATCAAATATATCATCATTTGAAATATTGATATGTAATTATGTAATTAGATATAACAGATATAATAGAACATTGAGTTCTTAGAAAGCAGAAAATTGTTAACATGTCCTGGAATTTCTTTTGGGAAAAATCTTGAAGTGTTTAAGATTCCAGGTTAACATGTAGATTCCATTAGTAATCTTAAATCATATAAATATAATGTTTTGCTATAGTATTTAATTAAAATGGATTTCCTTTAGTTAAAAATAAATTAAAAGGTTATTTGAAAACGTAATCAAGTTATCAAATTCTTGAACTCATGCATTTTGGCATTCATTTAAAATTGCTACCATTTGTTTTACTATCAAGGTTTTCTTGAGAAGTCATCTTAATCAAGTAGCACTTAGGTGTATTAATAGAAATCGCCCACCAATTTCTTCTTTGCTTTTTTCCTTCTCAATATGAAAATTTCAAACATAAAAAGTAGACAGAATGGGGCCTGCCCTGTGGCTTAGCGGTTAAGTGCGTGTGCTCTGCTGCTGGCAGCCTGGGTTCCATCCCGTGCGTGCACCGACATACCACTTCTCCAGCCATGCTGAGGCCGCGTCCCACATACAGCAACTAGAAGGATGTGCAGCTATGACATACAACTATCTACTGGGGCTTTGGGGGAAAAAATAAATAAATAAAATTATATATTAAAAAAAAAAAAGTAGAATGGTTTTTTAAAAAACTCCCATGTACCCCTAACCCAGCTTCAACAATACTCAAAATGTGGCCAAAACCTATACACAAGCCCACTGCTCCCACTGGATTATTTTGAAGCAAGTCTCAGTTGTTACATCATTTCATCCTAATCTTCTTCAGTATGTGTCTCTAAAAGAACTCTCTTTAACTAAACTCTTTAATAATTATTCGTTAATAATAGCATTTTAAAACTAGAAGGCACTTGAGAGATTCTTATTTTATTAGCAGTTAACAATGTTATTAATATTAATATCAAGTACTTTCATATGCATGTTCTCATTTTATTGTTAAAATATCTGAAGTAAATAGTATTGTCTTCATTTCACAAATGAGATACGGAATGAGTGTGACTTTCTAGGGTCCCACAGCCAACTATCAATATTGCCAGGACTAAGCGTTGAGAGTCAAAAAATCAAATATATTAACCTTATTTTTAAAAGGAACACTTTGGGTGGATCTTAGATAATCAACACTCTTTAAAACCTTCTATTATTTAACAGTGTAGCGTGTAATAGTTGTTTTTTTTTTTAGAGAGAGAGAAGGTTTTGTTTCCTTAAATAGCTAAAAGTCTGGATCGATTGCTTTCAGTCTCTGATACTGTACACATCTATACATCTTATTTAATTAACTCCTTTAGAGCAAGTATTTATAAAATTCATTATCGGTTTAAAAAGAACCATATTGGGGAAAGACTGTCTACTTTTCATTGAATAAAATCAGCCCAGACCACACCTATTTATTTAATTGTGGAGTAGACATGTTTCTGCACAGATAGTTAGAAAGGAAAGTGCTATAAACACATTTCATTTTCAAGTTAGGACCCATTTTATTTTATTTTATTTATTTTTTTAATAATTATTTATTTGTTTATTTTTTAAGATTTTATTTATTTTTTTTCCCCCCAAAGCCCCAGTAGATAGTTGTATGTCATAGCTGCACATCCTTCTTGTTGCTGTATGTGGGACGCGGCCTCAGCATGGCCAGAGAAGTGGTGCATCAGTGCGCGCCCAGGATCCGAACCCGGGCTGCCAGCAACGGAGCGCGCGCATTCAACCACCAAGCCATGGGGCTGGCCCCAAGGACCCATTTTATTTTCTAAGCCCTTTAGTACCTACCTCAAAGCTATTTGTAGTGAGTGCCAAATAGTCAGTGACAGACCATGTGATTTTCTGATTGACCTCCCCAAAAACCTGGCCAGAGAGATTGGAGGTGATTCTCTTCCAACCCCTCGCCTGTCTCTCACTCACCTCAGGCACCTCCAACATCCCTGCCCCTGATAAGATCCTGGGGGTGGGGGTGGAGCAACCTTAGCTTCAGGATGACCACCTGTGGGTTTCCTGATCCTGGAAGAACAGGCAATAAAGTGGGAATTTATGAGTTCAACAGAAGTCTGGCTCCCTGCCAGCTCCTGCCTGGACAGAGGAGAGTAGAGGGTTTCAGTCAATGAGTACGCCAACCAGGGTTTTTAAATTGCAGTTTGAGAGCTGCAGTCTCGGGACTGCCTGGTGGCCTCTCCCCAGGTGAGATACCAAATTAAATCACCTGGCAAGTTCAAAGGCTCCTGTGTCTCCCTTTTTAGACCCCCTACAGCATCCGAGTCCCAGCAGAGGGGAAAACTCCAAACCACACTGTTGTTTGTCCGCCTCCTCCCGCTTGGTTCTTAGGGAATCCCCCAAAAAGGCCTTTTTGTAGCGGAAGAGGGGTGCACCGTGGCACAGAGCAGGGCTCTGGGGTCAGTGGCCAGGCTTTAAATCTCTGCTGCCTCCACCCAGCTAGGTGACCACAGGTCGACCCTCACCTTCTCTGTGAGCCCATTTCCACTTCGTACCTGGGGATAAAATGGTTACTCGATGTGTTGGCTGTGAGCATTCACTGACCTGACACATGAACGGTATTTAGAACCACGTGTGGTACATAATCAGCTCTTAATCATTGTTTGCTGCTGATGTTAAATATATGATGTTCAACTGGGTTTATTTTTTCCCATCCCCTCTTTATCATCTTCCCAAGATCCTCCCAAAGTTTTTCTCATTCAAAAGTCCTCTCCTACTATATTCTACACACTGGTGACATGTCTCTAGAAATCTGGGTCATCCTTGATGGCAGTCCTGGCAGAGGACCAGAACCGTGTTACTCTTGTTCCCTTGGCCTCTCAGCAACTCTTAGCTGGGGGTGACATTTTCTTCCCCCGGCTTCCAGGAGCTCCTCGCTGTTGGTTCTCCTCCTACCTCACTGGCCACTTCTTGGTCTCCTTGCCAGCTCCCCCTCATCTCTCCAAATGTTGGTGCCCAGGGTTCAGCTCTTGCGCCTCTTTTCTTGTCAGTCTATACTTATTCCCTGGGGGATTGGATCCAGACTCTGGCCTTAAATGCCACCCATAAATGGACATGCCCCAAATTGATATCTGTAGCCTGCACCTCTCCCTGAAATGCCACTCTCAGATATATATTTTTTCCCATCCCCAAAGCCCCAGTACATAGTTGTATATTCTAGTTGTAAGTCCTGCAAGTTCTTCTATGTGAGCTGCCGCCACAGCATGGCAACTGACAGACAGGAAGTGTGGTTCCGTGACTGGAAACGAACCCGGGCTGCCGCAGCGGTCAGAGCACCGAACTTTATCCAGTAGGCCATCAGGGCTGGCTCATCCATTCTCAGATATTTATCTAGCTGCCCCCTTGACATCTCCACTTGAGTGTCTAGTAGGCTCTCAAACTTAACATGCCCCAAAATAGCTCCTGATCTTCCCCCTTACAAAAAAAGGCCAAAAATTCTGAGGTTATCCTTGGTTCCTTTCTTTCTCTCACATGCTATGTGTAATCCATCAACAAAACCAGAATCTGAACTGTGGTAGGCAGCCTCCAGGATGGCTCCCAAAGATGCCCACCTCCAATATTCATACTCTTGTATTATCCCCTCCCTCATTGTACCTAGGTCAACCTGTGTGGCCAAGAGAATTCAGCAGAGGTGACGATATGTCACTTTTGAGATTAGGTTATGAATGACACTGCAACTTCTGTCTTTCGTCTGTTTTCCCCCTTTCCCTCTCTCTCATCACTTGCTCTGGGGGAAACCAGCTGCTATGTCTTGAGGAAGCACTGTGGAGAGGCCCATGCGGCGAGGAAGGGAGGCCTCCAGCCAACAGCCGTGTGCGTGAGCTTTCTCGGAAGTGGGTCCCATGGCCTCAGTCAAGGCCTCAGATGATGCAGACCCAGATGATATCTTGACTGTAACATCATGAGAGATGGACCCTGAGCCAGAACCACCCGGCTCAGTCACTCCCAGATTCCTGAACCTCAGAAACTGTGAGATAATAAATGTTTGTTGTTTTAAGCCAGTAAATTTTGGGATAATTTGTTATGCAACAATAGATAACTAATACAGGAACGCTTGTCACCAACTCCAATTCTAGTCCAACGAACGAAAACCTCTCTCCCAGTTATTGACCTAGCCTCGTAACTGGTCTCACTCTTCCCACCCTTGCCCCACAATAGTTTGTTCTCAGCATGGCAGCCAGGATCAGCCTTTCAAAACATCTATCAGGTCACGTTACTTCTCTACTTCAAAACCTCTGCAGCTTCCTGTCTTGCGTGGGGTAAAAATCCAAGTCTTGCAATGGTCTTTGGCCCCCTCCCTGTGTCCTACTCTCCTTCTGACACGCTGGCCTCCCTGGTGTTTCTTGCACAAGCCAAGTGTGCTCCCATCTCAGGGCCTTTGCACTTGCTATTCCCTTTGTTAAGAATGTATTTTCCGGGCTTGCCCCATGGCTTAGCGGTTAAGTGCGTGTACTCCGCTGCTGGCGGCCCGGGTTCGGATCCCGGGCGCGCACCGACGCACTGCTTCTCCGGCCATGCTGAGGCCGTGTCCCACATACAGAAACTAGAAGGATGTGCAGCTATGACATACAACTATCTACTGGGGCTTTGGGGGAAAAAATTAAAAAAAAAAAAAAAAATGTATTTTCCCAGATGTCCCCATGATTTGCTCTTCATTCAGGTCTCTGCTGAAACCTCCTTATTAGCTAGTGTTGCCCTGACCACTGTGCAGAAAATCACCACTTCCTTCCTTACCCTGGAATACGATACCTCCCATAACATATCACCACATGATATACTCTATGTTACTTGGTTATTTATTGTCCGTCTCCATCACTAGAATGTAAGCTCCATTGTGGTCGGGACTTTGCTTTGCTTACCAATGGCAC